TTTTTTTAGTGTTTGGTTAACTAATTTCCAAATGACTTTGTGTTAGCAAAAAGTTCATATTCCATCCAGTTCGAGTCCTCGTTCTCTGGGTAAATGCTGAGATTAGCAGGTTGCTGTTATTCATTGTTGTACCAGTCACCAATCATTTCAGCCCACAGGATTCTGCCATCTCTCATAGATATTTTTTTTTTAAGGTTCTTTGGCATCCAAAGGAGGTGAATACATCTGATAAATGTGAGAGACATTGTACAAGGTTCAAAGTCATTTTTTTCTGAGCAAAGACAGTATACTGAAGATAGAGGATGGACTGTATTCACTTTTTCAAATTCCCTACATGTGTTCTGATGTTCACATACTATTATGGGTTACCATGTTATTTATTATTTTTCGATTCTGTTCTACTCTATGGAGCACTTAATGGGTTTATTAACTTAATAATACCAATATCAATAATTCCATACTCTTCTTGTTCTTTCCCAGGAAGACACTCTTAGGAAATCCAAAGGTACCGCTGCAGGTGCTTGTGGCATGGCTGTTCTTCTTTTACCAGCCCCCCTGCAGTATTCAATTCTATTTATAAACATTGCTTGATTCACCTTTATTACAGAGACCAATTTATGAAGCAGTTACAGGAATTTGTCCATAGTCCCTCAGAAGTAGGAATGGAGCACAGAAATCTCCCTCCTTTTTATACTGACCAGCGGAAACCCCTGGAAACTTCTAGTGGGCAAAGGGATATTGACCGCTGCGTGGCTCAGCCCTCATTCCCAGCATGCTCACATCTAAGTGAGTCCCAGTGGGACACAGGCCCAGGACAGCCTTTTCTCTAATCTTCTTAGAGGAGTTGGAGAAGTGACAGGAAGACTGTGCTCAGGAGCCTGGGTTCCAATCCCGGTTTTGTCACGAACCAGAACAGTATCCTTTGGCAAGTTCCTCTTTCTGGGTCTCACTTTCATTCTCTGTAAAATGAAGACACTTGGTCAGGTGATTTTCAAAGACTCTTTCGGGTCTAAGTTGTTATGTGCAGTAGATCATTTCTGAAGATGGTCACGACAGTCCCTCCTACCTCCTATTTCCTACTTTTTTTTTGTATAATTTACCTAATGATTATAATAAAATGCACACATTTTGGTAAATGTATACACTTGTGTCCACACCACCACAACCAAGGTACAGGACATGTCTGTCATTCCAAGAAAGTTGTCTCATGCCCTGTTGTTGCCAATCCCCATGCTCCAGCCCCGAGTAACCAGTGATCTGCTTTCTGTCACTCTTGATGAGTTTGCCTTTTCTAGAATTTTATGTAAATGGAATCATACGTAATTTACTCTTTTGTGTCTGGCTTCTTTCACTCAGCATAATCACCTCCCTTTGCAATGTGCCTTTACCATTCTCCCATCAAGACTGCAATCTCTTTCCCAACCTCTTGAATCCATGCCTGCCTCTGACTTGCTTTGATCAGCAGAATACAGTAGAAGTAGTGCAGTTTACTCCCTTTCACCCCTTGGGAGAGAGCCACCACGTAAAAATGCATGAGCTAGACTGCTGAACTGTGTGAGACCAGTGGAGAGCAAAAGAGGCCATGTGGAGGAGAGTCAAGGTGCTCATTCCATTACAGCACCAGGGCCCAGACATGTGGGTAAGGGCACTTTGGGTCCTCCAGCACCAGCTGAGGGACCCCAGTCAAGACAGCATGGAGCACAGGAGAGCCACCCTCACTGAGCCCTGCCTGACCTCCTAACCCAAAGAATCATGAGCAAATAAAATGGTCTTTGTTGAAGCCATTAAATTTGGGGATGGCTTATAACACAGCGGTAGTTAACTAAAACAATGAGGCTTCTGACCTGCTTTAAGGTCCATCAGAATTTCTTGCAGGCTCTAGGACTGTTAGTTAACTATATAAATGCTTTATCTTCAATCTTTTCTATGTCTCTTACTACATCATAGTATATATGATATATATATATAGTATATATGACATACATCATATTAGTTTCAGTTGGGCTGAAATGATATATATATACTATAAATGATATATATATAGTATATATGACATAAATCATATTAGTTTCAGTTGGACAACATAATGATTTGATATTTGTATACACTGTGAAATGATCATCACAGTAAGTCTAGTTAATATCCATTACCACATATATTTTTTTTTATGATGAGAACTTTTAAGATTTATTGTCTTAACAACTTTCAAATATGCAATACAGTATTACTACTATAGTGATATCCTGTATGTTACATTCTCATGACTTATTTATTTTATAACTGAGAGTTTGTATCTTTTGGCCCTTCCACCCATATCAGCCACTCCCTACACCCCACCACCTTCCAAACTCTGGCAACAACCAAACTAGTCTATTCTCTGTATCTATGAACTTGTGTGGGGTTTTTTTGTTTTTGTTTTTTTTTAGATTCTGCATTGAAGGGAGATCATACAGTATGTGTCTTTGTCTGACTTATTTCACTTAGCATAATGCCTTCGAGGTCCATCCATGCTGTCTTACTCTCTTTCATATTCTTGCCTCTGATATAAATTGCATCTTAATTTTTCCTAACTACATGATAGCCCTATTACCTACATGGATTTGAAAATGATAGCATGTTTTGTTAAATTTCATTTCTACAGGGTTAAAAAAAATCCCGAATTCTTCCCCTCTTCCAATCAGATCCAGTGTTCTGGCATTTGAGTTACAGCATGTTCTAGAGAAAAGAATTCAGCATTTGGGAGCCAAGAGCCCTCACTTCATACCTAATGAGCTGTGTAATTCTGGGTTAGTTTAAAGCTTCCTGCACCTGATTTTCTCCATGTAAAATAGAAATATCTCATGGGCTGGCAGAAAGAAGATAAACTGCAAAAACAGAGGGAAAAGTTATTCCAAAGTACGTTTCATTTCCATACTCTGACAGGTCCTCTGCAATGTTTGCATGCCTTCCATATGTCAGGGTGCTGTTGCAGCGTTAAATATGCAAGATACATTTGCTCATCACCAGGAAAACAAGGTTAACACTATTTGTGCCTTATGGCTTTTTGTTATGAGAGGTGAGAGATTTGCTTATTGTACATTTATATTCTGAGTCTCTAAGCTAACATTCAATTACTCAAAAAAAAATCTGGGAAAACAACAACTCTATTTTTAAATTTTGTTTGATTTGCTTAATATTACTTTCTCCACATTATGTTTTACTGTATACTACTATAAAATGGTATGGTCAAGCAAAGTCTGGGTGAAGGAAACAGCCTCATGGAAGGGTGAAAGCTAACTGGATAGTAATTATCTTCACTTACACAATACCCAGCTGAAAACCAGGAAAATCATTAAAAAAATTTTTTAATTATAATATAAGAACATTTGAGAAATGGATTCTTTTAAATAAAAAGTCAGGTTTTTAAGAGGATTTGATTTTTAAATTTTATTTCATCATGTTTTTATTTGGTATGTTCACAGTTTGGATGAACTGAGGGGCAAGAAATAGACATGAATTTTGAAAAAAGTAGTGAAGTAGGTGGCAAATGAAAGGTAAAAATAAGGAAAGAAAAAAGAAAACAGGTGTAGTGAAAGGATGGTAGGAGTCTGGAAGTGGAAAAATATAAAACAGGGGAGGGATTTTTGTATTTTTTCACTGTTCTATGTACAGGATCTAGAACAATTCCTGACATGTAATAGATGCTCTAAAAATATACTTGTTGAATGAATGAACGATCTCCTAGGATAACTCCAGTTTTGCATGCCAGGATGCTAGGATTATCAGATAATTGAGGCATTGATGTATGAGATCGTAAACTTATTTTTTATGAAGAACTTCCCAACTTTCCAGCCTGTCAGGTATACTGACAGGTGTTATAAATCTTCCAGCTAAGGTGTGGCCCTTCCCTAACAAAAAGCTCCAAAGAAATGGAGGTTGAGAGAGGACTAATTCCGTAAGAGAGCTACTTATTCTGATCTTTTTCATTCTCAAAGTAAGCACTCCATTTTCACTTTCTTCAAGACATGAACCGGCATCCTGTGGGACCATTTTTGAAAAGGCACTCAAGCAATAGAAGGAGTTAGCCAGGTAATTTTCATGTGAAACACATTCCCCAGATGTGTCTCCAAGTACTGTCCATGACATAGAGACTCCAGGACAGAAAAATATTTCAGGAACATGGATGTCCATGTTGTAGGTATTCTGAAAGTCCAAAGCTCCACATCTTGCTCATCAGACAGGCTACCTAAACTCCCAGATGGAGGTGAGTGTATGTCTGGGGGGTCACATAGGAATAGTAAGAAAATCTTCCATTTTCCTAATAGATGTTTGGTGAGATCAACTCAGAGAATACTCAGTCCCTAGCATGAAATGGAAAGCATCCTAGAAGTGAGAGCTTATTTCTTTCATTATTCTTCTTTAGAAAACGGAACGGTGGTGTGACTATCTCTTGGCTATTCCTTACCAATTATTGTTCCAATTGCAAAGAGCAGGTTTGAAGAGGTAAAATTCCTACTGTCATGTGGCTTTTAGGCTTCTCTCGCAAAGCCTAATTTATATAATGTGCCCTGTTTGGTTTTTATTCACTGATTCAGTAAATATTTACAAAGCCCCAAATACTTTGCCAGGTCCTGTGCTAGGCTCCATGAAACAGCCGTGAACAAACACTCTCAATTCTTACAGGTTTGTGTTAAGAAGGAAAAGAGGCCAATAAAAAAAATATGTAAAATAGGCAACATTATCAGGTGGTAATATATGCTATGAAAAGAAATAAAGGAGTATGGGAGATAAGCAGTAACAAGCTCTAAACCCAAACTTTACTTCAGGTGCTATATAAAAAAAATTCTACTTTCCTTTTTTCTGCCACTGCAAGTAGTCTGTCATCAAACCATACACGCCCTCTCAGCGGAATCAAAGCCCCTTTCTTAGGTTCAGTTGCCTCCCATTTTCTCTGACCAGGCACTTTCATTGGATATTCCTAAAAATCATAGACTTAAGGGATCTCAAACTAACAACCCCGAACTGCCCTTTCCTCCTTCCCCCTCCTCACCCTCAGGTTTTACCTCAGGGACCAGGGTGGATGCAGCAGCCAAATATCCCAGGCTATCAAGTCTCTGTGAGCATCGCCCACCTCGTTTTCTAATTCAGTTATTTCTGAGAGAGGAAAAGATGTTATAAGGACCCAAAGAGAACTTGATTACACATAAGATTTTAGAGTAGCTGCAGAATAAAATATAAAGGAGAATGGAGTAAGTTCAAGCGACTGGTAGTTCTCAACTACTGCAGACACTAAGCCTCAAATTTGAATGAAAATGTATTGAGGGACAAACGCAGATTTTTTCCTTTCTCAACTGATATGGAAACACTTGCCAGTGGTTCCCGGTGCGGTCCCCAGCGGCCATTCAGGAGAGGCCGTGTCGCAACAGCTCTTTTTTGCGCAGACAAAGCCTCCTTGTAAGTCCCTCTGCTGTCCCCGAATAACCACTCTGGGAACAAGAAAAATCGAGCTGCTGCTCCCCATCAGGCAGCCAGACAATAGCGGCGGGAGGGGCTCCACGCCACGGCGCAAAACGCCAACATCTTTGTTGCCACCGCGTCCTTAGCATGAAGCCTCCAAATGTCATTAGTAACAAGGAGGGGGGTGGGGAGGAGGAGAAAACAACTCCCACCCGCGGCGGCTCCTCGGGAAGCGGCTGGGCCGACGTGCAGACTGCGCGCCTACCAGCCTCCCTCGCGCGGAAGAGGCAGCGCAGGGCACCTGGGGCTCTGGTCCCGCACCCCCGGCGCGGCTCCTAGGGCCCCGCGGCCTCGGCGGGAAGTAGCGCCGTCTGTGCGCGGAGGGAAACGCGTGGTGAAATGCCGGCACGCACAGCCGCGCGGTGACGCCTCCGCAGGAGGGGCGGCGGCGGTAGCTGCCACAGGCCTTCAGCGCCCCAGCAGCGCGGGCAGCTCGCGGCTCCTCTGGGTCGGCGTGGCCCTGCTTCTGCCCGGCCAGAGCCTGCAGGCCCGGAGGCGGGCGACTGGGCCCCGACTGCCGCGGGTCCGCGGCTCCGGCGTCGAGCGTGCCCCGGCAGGTCCTGCGCCTGAAGGGGGTGGTGTGTCCACAGCCCGGGCTGTTTGGCCGCAGTCTGTGAGTGGCCAGGCCCCGGCCGCCCCCTCAAGCTTGGTAACAGTTGCCGGGGGTCGGTCGGGTTCCGGACACTGGCGTGCGTAGCAGCCAGGCCGACCGACTGACGGGAGTCGCCCACTGGCCCCTTCCCAACCACCACCCCCCGGCGCCCGAGCCTCGGGCTCCTCTGCTGTGAAGCGGGATGGTTGTGCGGATTCCAAGTGAGAGAAAGCAGGTAACAATGCCCAGCATTCCGTATACATACTAAGTTCTCCAAAATAGTGAGGAGTAAAAGGAACACAGTATTAACTCATGCAGCAACATGAATGGACCTAAAAGCACATGCTGTGGGGAAAGAGGTTAACCCAAAAGATCATAGTCTGATTCCATTTATGTGAATTCTGGAAGAGGCCCACCTGGTAACCGAAAGCAGTTGCCTGGGGAGGGGCGAAGGTGGCTGGAGGCTGGATGCAAAGAGGTACAGGTGGTGGTTACAGGACACGTGCAGTTGCCGAGATTCATCGCCCTGTAGTCTGCAAATGGGTGAATTTTATTGTATTCGAATTACACCTCAAGGAGAGGAGAGTTAAGCCATGGAGGAATCGGGACAGGTTGGTGGGAAAAAGATTGTAGAAAATCTGATACCTAAATGTGTGGCATCTCCTGAGTGGCTTCTCCTCCTCCCCTAAGAGTCAATGGACCCCAGGCACTAGGGATGGCTCGGGTCCTGGAAGGGTACACTATACCAGACCCAGCTGATGCACCTTCTCAGATGTGCTCTGCTCCCACCACCCCCATCTTAACCTCTTGCTCAGGGCAGAGGCCTGGCCTCTGTTGCAGTGGCTTCCTTTTAGGACAGCCTCCCCCTGAGGGAGGGTCAGGCTTCAGCGCTGCCGCCCTCACACCAGGGCTTTGATGGCAGGAGGCTCTGAGTCCTCTCACCAGTCCCAGAGTGGGGTGAAAAACTCTGAAGTTCAGCATGTTCTCGCTTCCCTGGCAATTGTCTGAAGGAATCAGGTGGCATGTCCAGAAAAGTGGGGGTGTTAGAGCCCCATGAGACAAATCTGTACCAAAGAGAGCACAGAGCAAGAAAGAGCCCTCGTATAAACTCCTCCCCTTTTTTCTGCATAGGTGGTCTTTAAACATGATGGTGCTGCATGGTCTGTCTGCAACCTGTCCTTTGAGACTGAGCAGCTTGCTTTCTTGTGAAGTTGTCCTAAGCTCAGTGATGCACCACCTTACATTTGCTTTTCTTTACATTTCCCCTCACCCTTGCTGCCCTGGGATTATACCTTCTAATAAAATCTTAGTACTTAAATTTGGCCTCAGGCTCTGCTTTCTAGTAATCCTTTAGCAGCATTTGGGCTTTAGGTCTGTGCCTTAATGAGAATTTCACAGCCACAGTAACAAAATTTGGATTATTTTGGCTCTGATTTACTGTCCCATTAGTCCTAAAATGCAATGTTAAAAGGCAACCATTTGAGACTAGTACAAAATATATAGATTTATATATACATGCCTCTGTCTGAAGTTGGTAGAGATAAAAGTTTGGTTTTCCATTTATTGGTTCCTAGTAGTATCTCCTCTTGAGTAAATTCCTAGAGCATAAGTACTGATATGTTTTAAACATTTGGAAGCTTAAAAAACTTGAGATGCACAGGGATGCAAAATAAAGAAAATGCTTTCAATCGTGATTATAAAGTTGTTAAGTCTGTGGAGTGGAGGGGGTTTGGTTTTTTGGTTCATTCATAAAGCCCTGTTCTATCTCTTAAAATCTTATTATCAGGGATATGTTAAAGTCTTTTAAAACAACTTTTTCTAGTCCAGAATGCTTGGCAAAACAGTTTCTCTTTGCATTATTTTACATATGGGAGACTCAAGTAAATTTGTATTTTTAATAATAACAGCCTTCTGTTTATTTCAGCTTTGTCAGACCTTTCTCTTCCCTCCCACCAGGGTTGCCAGCCATCTGTAATTTGATCAACAGTAATTTGAGATGGGACTGGCCAGGGTCATATGGTAAATAGGACATTTCCACTTTCTTGACCACAAAATCCTCCCTTTCCTGGCCACTTAAAGACTGTTACATAATCTACAAACCCATGAATCTGATGATCTTCTACCTATGTTGGCAAAAGTCACACCTACAAATCTACCTTTCTATGAGCACAGTACTGTTTATTACTCATTCTTATTACTTCTAATCTAGCCAATCAGAGCATTAAAAAATTGTTTTTAAAAACATGTTCTGCCTTCACCTGCATTAGCATAGTGATTTGATATGGGCGGAAAAAACTTTGTCATCTTATGTGAGCAATTTTTAATCTTCACATTTGAAAAATGCACATTTTATCGGGTTAATTTCAATCATAAGCAAATATGAAGCTAGGCTGTACATGTATGTACATACATTTTTGCAAAAAGAAAAAAGTTTAAATATCTTGGGTCACAGATGCAGTATCAAAAGACTTCCCATTAAGCAAATGTGAACGCTTTTCTTTAAGTCATATAGCTTTTAATTTTTTCCAAATATATGAGAGCAGATAAGGTTTCAGCATATGTACAGGCTTTATACATACACATAGTGTTGGCTCCTTAAGGACAGGTCATATGTTTGTTTCAGTTATATCGCCATTATTCAAACATTTTTAGAATTCTTTAGAAATTTGCCACAAGAAACTGAATCACATTCTTTTAAATGACATCATCAGTGAGAGTAAATCTTCTTTCTCTGAGAATAGATTTAATTTTTAGAAATACTCAAAAGTTATTCGAAGCCAATACATCTTTAGTAACATTGTTAAGCAGGGAAGAATTGGGCAAGACAGAATAAAAATAAGTAAAGTGAGTAAACTAAAAAAAAAACTCTGAAAGGAGGAAAATAAAGGAAAAATTGAAGCAGAAATCAATGAATTAGAAAACAAACAAAAAACAATCATTGATAAATTTTAACAGTAATTCTTTGGAAAAAGGAAGAAAAATATGTGGCAAATCTAATAAAAAAGAGAAAATATAAATATAAAGGAGAAAGATATGGAAAATGTTTTTTGAATTAGATGGGAACACTGTAGTTAGCTGTGTTTTTTCTGGAAAAACATCAATTACCCAAATTAAATCAAGAAGTAGAAAAAAATTAAGTAGATTGAAACCAGAGAAGAAATCAAAAAAGTTACAGCCCCAAGAGATTTTTATAGGCAAAGTCTTACAAATTTTGAAGTACATATACTTCCCTTTTAAATGCATAAAGATATTAAAATTTAATTCATTTTATGAAGCAAATATTACTATAAAAATCTATAAAAAATGACACAAAAAGAACATTCAAAAAATATAAAATCATGAGAAATCCAATGCCATAATTTCCCTCCTGAAACACCAGCAAATGAAATTCAATGAAGTAAGTTTTAACATGATCAGATAGATTTTATCCTAGAAATTGCAGGATATCTTAATAATAGGACAATAATTACAAATCATACATTTAGGCCATATAAGAAAAAAAAGATCATTTTAATAAATGATAAAAATTTAACTCCTATTCCTGATTAAAACAACTAATTTAAAAAAACTTCTTAGTAAATATTAAGCCAATAGCCAACATCATATAATAAAGTTTTATAAAAATACTAATACTAATGATAAGACAACCAAACTAAGGAAGAGGAGAAAGTGTAAAGTTAATTCCTCAACCTCCCATTACCATTCCTCATTCTTTCTCCCAACAGTAATCTCTAATAACAGTTTCTTATATATCCTTCCAGAAATTTTCCATGCATATAAAAGCATATAACTATCCCCTTTAGAAAAAACAAAATAGAATCATACTATATGTATTGTTCTGCATTTGTTTTTTTCATTGTATAAAGTACCTTGGACATCTTCACAACTCAGCACATAGATCTACCAAGATTTTTCTTAACAGCTGAGCAGCAGTATATAAATGCAGTATAATTTTTCACTCACCTTTTGGGGAACATTTTATCTTTTTTAGTTTTCTGCAATTATATACAGTCAAGTAAGCATCCTTGAATATCTTTCTTATTGGTGCTGGTGTACCTATAGGATTAATGCCTAGCAGTGGAATTGCTAGATCCATTTCTGGATAGCTATTTCCAAATTAGCAACTGAAAAGGCTGGATTAATTTATAATCTCAGTAAAAGTGTATGCAAAAATATAATTGTTGAGGCTAGGTGACAGGCATTTGAGAGTTCATTTTTCTATTCAATCTACTTTTGTATGTGTTTTTAAATTTCCATACCTAATGATATGACAGGAGAGGCATTGTCATTAAAATCAGGTGTAAAGATGCCTACTATCAATGCTATTCTTTAAAATTATGCTGAAATAATTATGTAGTAAGACAAACAATAGGTAAAATATTGAAAAGCAGAGAAAAAATTGCCTTTATTTGCAGATGATGCTTTTGTCTAGAAAACTTGAGAGACTTGATTGAAAAGCTATTTATAAAATAACTTAAAAATCAGTAACTTTTCCAGTGATCTAGCAAAAATCTGTTGGGAAATATGTATTTCCTTGAAGATCCTATTCACCTGTAAATAATATCAGAAGGGATCTATACAAAAAGAAAAAATATGAAAGCAAAAAGATTTGAATAGATGCAGAAATCTGTTAGCTCCTAGGTAAATGTATCAATATCTTTATTTGCAAAACTGATATGTCAACATAAACAATTCAAAATTCTAATAGGATTTTTTTCTTAAGTTGAAAAAAATGATATCCACTTGGAGAGAAAAACAAAAGAGGAGCCAGAACACTTCTGAAAAGAGAGAGTAATAACAGGAGACTCATGTATCAGATGTTAATGCATGTTATAAAGGCACAGTAATTACAGTGATTTTGAACTCCTGATAAAAAAGTGACAAAGAGATTATTACTTCAGAAAAGATAGCCCTGAAAGAAAATTCAACTTAGCAATATATGAAGCATAACCAATGAGGAGGAGGACACAAAGTGTTCAATAACCAGTACTAGCAAAACTGGCCATTTGGAAGGAAAAAAATGGACTAGATGCTCACTTTTTACTATATACTGAAATACAGCCCAGATAGATTAGGAGACAAATTTGAAAATAAAACTGTAAAAGAAAAGAAAATATAAGTGAATACTTAGTGATTTTTGGGTGGGGAAAACAAGACAATAGAAGATACAGAGATGTATCTGCGTAAGCATTTAGAACATCTGTATGTTAAAAATCACAAACAATAACAAATAAGTAAAGAATTAGAAAGATACTTGTCATAAATACCATAAAGTGGCAGAATTAGTACCTGCACCAAGATTCTTAAAAGCCTTTTTCAAAGAAGACATCTCAACACTTTTTGGGCAACAGCAGCATTGTTGGATTAGGGGTACAGAGAGAGCCACTGTGAAGAACAGAGTTCACTTAGAAGAATCACCCATTTTTAGAATGCTAGATTTTTTGTTTGTATATTTTGTTTGTTTCTACCTCATTTCATGTGTACAAAGTGACAGTCTTTGAATTACAAATGCTATTTTCTCTGGTTCCTTTTTCAGAAGCACCCCTGGAATTTTGTGCTTCCTGTCTCTGGAAGAGGCTCACTTGATTTATCCCACTAAAACTCAGGGTAGATAGCTCTTACTATCCCCATTCTCCAGATTAGGAAGGATGTATTTTTGTGACTTGGACAAATAGACAGCAAACTGGTATGTCAATACAAACAAATCATTCACAATAAAGTCTTTAGAGGAAAAGCCAATTTAGAGTAGGAATTGTTGCAAGTACCTGGTGATCTTCAAATACCTGTGCTCTGCCAGGATTCTTATAATCTGCCCCATCCTTAGCTGCCTCAGGCACACTTACAGGATATAGCCTAGCTTTCCACAGTGCCTAAAGGAAGACAAGTCCCACAGGTCCCAGGCTTAAAACAGGACTGTTCTCAGTATGTTCTGACCTCATAATATGCATGAATTGTCACATGTAACCATCACTAAACAATCCCAGGGTGTAGGTACTTTATGATCCATTTTCCACATTAGGAAATAGACACACAGAAAAATTAAGTAGCTTGCTGAAGTTCACAAAGTTGTAGAAGCTTTATTTTTGAGCCAGGCAGTTGGAGCTGGAGCCTAAGCTCCTTGTCCACATGTAACCAAGTAAGAAGCCCTTTCATCCATAGGAGCTCATTTGACCCTCACAACTTTGCAAGTTCAGGAAATATTCTCCCCAGTTACAGTAAGGCAGTGGGAAACCAGAAGTGGTTTATTAGATTTAGTAATCTTTTTTTTAATGATTTGAAAGAAGCTGACAGCAGAGCATGGATGGACATGTGATAAGGAATGACTGGAGAAAAACAAGCCTTACAAGGAGAGAATAAGTAGATTACACACAAGTTGCATGGAGAGGAAGGGAACTGGGAACAGGCAAGGGCAGGTTATCTTGAGCATGGTGAGAATGAAATTAGCTCACAAGCGGTCAGGTCTAACAGTGAAAGAAATCACATCCACAGCATTCTCATCATCTTGAGCCTGTCTGGCTTCCTGAAATACTAGCTTCTACTCCATGTCTGTCTCTCTGAGAATCCTGTTGTTAATTTCTGTTTATTTATCTGGTCTTTGTTAGTTTAGATAACAAGTTGTGTCTTAATCACCAAAATGAAACTCCCTTTGCACAATAGCATTTCTACCTCATTTTAAAATGCAATCATGATAATGAAGTTTATATGAGTACTTTTAGAATTTGCTTATGTAAACAGTGTTAACTTCTGAACTTGTTGCCTGCTTTTTTATCACTTTTTTTATTCCACAATACTGTGAATACAAATGAACTTTACAAGAAACATGCATGTTTTGAGAAATTTACTTTCATCCAATAATCCATGTTAAATGCACTGGAACTCAATTTAAAAGTAGGAAAATAAATAATCCTTTTGCATATAGCAAGAGGATTATTTGTCTTATTTTATTCAAGTCTGAGTTGACATCAGAAAAAATATGTATATTGTATACTCATTTCAAAATGTTCTTAAAGTCTATATGCAGTATCAACAGCAAGGGAAATTCTCTTACCTACTGTAAATTACAGTATTAACCTCAAGTTTTATGTAATGTTATATTAGTATCCTAAGATTTTATCATAAGAACATTGTCTCTTTAAGTATAAATATTGCATAAATAAATTTCCATCTAAATCCTCTCTCAAAAGTGAGTAAATTCCATGTCTAAATCCTTCTTAATGTCCGTTTCCTACTCCAAACACACATTCTTTCCTTCTGTAATTCCTGGCCATCAAAATCCTTCAGTGACCTGTAGCAACCAAACAGGTTTCCAGTATTCGATCTCAAATAGTTAAAAAAAAAAAAAAGAAAGAAAGAAAAAGGGATCATACTGAAATATTTGGCTATGCTTCAAGGGCAAAAAATTAAAGGCACTCAATCCATGGTTCTAATAACATTGTTCTGTTTGTTTATTTTTTTAATTGCTGGTGCTGGCATGAATGAAATATAGGATGATTCAGCCAATGAGAATTTGAATGCTGGTGGAAAACTGCAGAAAATCCAGGTGAGTTGAAAGAGAAAGAAGAGATCAGGACTTGTGAGGAAAATGCAGTCAGAAATAAAAAGAGAGGCTCTCTGAATGCAAGAAAACAAACACAGCAGGTTTGAGCTCTGTATTTAAAGCCTGCTAAAGGCCAGTGACATATGAAACCAGGATGGGAGAAAACCAAGGGTGAAGAGTTTCTAAGCTGACTATTAAATAGATGTAACTCACTGACGAGTGTGCCCATGTGGGATTTTAATTACTCAGACATCTGTTTAGCGAAGTGTACTACTAAATAGGGATTAAATACAGAGATTAAATTACGTGGGGAGGAGAGCGAAGATGACATTCATGACTCAGAAAAGAGAGCTATCGGCCAGGGGAAAATCAATCCCGGCTTTACATCTCACCAACAGAGGAGCAATTATTTTAGATGTGGGGCTGGTTAGCATCCTAGGTCATGAATTTAATTAAATAACCCTCGAGTGGCACAAAACAGAGCAAACCACTGTGCTTAACTATCAGTAAGTCATGCTACAAATAAATGGTCCTAATTCCTCCTCTTTCCCTCCTTCCACACAGATTTGTTATAATTCTCTTAAATTCAAAACTATCTTCCCTTTCCAGATTTAACCTTTCCTTCCCAGTGGCATCCAATAAACTCATGTAAGTTAGATGGCTTGAACCATAAGGCAGGATTCGCCCTCAACCTTCTCACAGTGAGATACTCAGGAAGATGGAGAACAGGGCAAGGATTAAGTCATTGTTTGAGTTTCTTCGTGGGTCTCAGTGAAATGATTAGTAACTCAGAGAAATATCCTGGAATCAAACAGAAGACTGTGCGACCCACTTGTTGGCAGTTAGCACCTTGGAAGGCAAAGAAAAGCTGTGGGAAAGAGACTACAAACAAGTGGTTAGAGCAGGAACCCTAGGGGAAGAGAAGAGAGGAAGAGAAAGCATTCAACTTTTGAAATGAATATTTAAAATCCAGCCTTACTCAGTGTGGTCCCATACAGCCCTCTTGGAGCTCCAGTCAACAGTCCAGCCATCAGCCTCTTGCCTGTAGCTGACTCTTGGCAGGAGGGCGATCGTTAGAGCCTTCATGTCGATTCCACTCACTTTCCTTCCCACATCTGCTACTTCCTTCTGTGGTACCATTCTTCCAGTGTCCAACTGAGAAACACTGGTTTCCTCTAAAATGCTTTTCTTCTGTTTGCAAATAACAGAAACCAACTGGAGAGGACTAAAATAAAAATGTGAACTGACTGGAAGGATACTTGGCTATCTCTCATGGAATCCAAGGGAGAGTGGAATGACCACACCTTCCTTAGGGAGAACTCAAGGCAGTTCCCAGGACCTCAGAGGCTGAAATCCACTAGTTCCTCCAAAGGACTACCATTAACGACTCAGCTACCAATTCCCAACCACTGTCTCTCTGTGTTAAATCCAAAGTTCCTGGGAGAGTCTGATACACCACACACACACACACACACATACACAAAATATGTTTAAGTGCAAGCAGTTTAATAAACTGAAAAATCCTATTACCATGTGGGTTCGTTCCTTTGAAACTTGTCATTTTTGCTATCATCTTAAAAGTCTAAGAACTACTTCAGGCACTGCTACCTTGAGTGGCTATGGCTGACAGCACAGCCAGTTTCCAAAGCCCACTGTAAGCAAAGTAGCACCAGCCCTGACAGAGTAGAGCTTGACAAGAGCCTATTCTTGCTTGGGTCAGCTACTTTCAAAGTGTTCTGACCAAAGTTCCCTCAGGAGGTGGTAACAGCCAGATTGGCTCAAGGAACTCTGCACCCTAATTCATTCATTCAGTAATTATTTATCCATCTGTTAAATGCCCAGCAAACTCTGCTAAGTGATATGCTTCATGCAAAGATGAATGCTTTCTTCCCTCATGGCACGAAAACCCAGACTTAGATCTACAGTGTGAGGAACAGTCTGAGGGCTTCTGCCTCACCAATGGGTTTCAGCTCCCAGCAAGTTCGCTATGGATTCAGTGTGACCAAAGAAATGATAGTAGAATGTTTCTTTGGGGTGAAAGGGTTCATTACCCAGCTTGTTCTCCCGGCTGTAGGGTGAGCACTAGCATCTCTGCCTCCGTCAAGAGCACTGGGCCAAGCTCGCTATGTAGTGCAATAATAGCTTATTGCCTATAGTTGTGGAAGCAGTAGCCTAGCAACAGGCCAGTTTCATCATCAAGTGGTTTAAGTTCATTGAGGATCCTGGCCATAGGAACCCCAACTTCCCCACAGCTTCTACGAATAATTTTTCAAATGAATATTGGTTATTAACTCCCCCACCCTACCCCTGCCACTCTTGGATGAGAAGCCCAAGGATTTTGCCTCAGCTGTGAGGCAATCTCATTGTTGATGAGTTTAAGATTTCACTTCCTGTGTTCAGAGTTCATTAGGCTGTATTAGATGAGAGCTCATGAAGCCTCAAAAGTAACCACAGCCAGGTGCCATTTATTTGTATAATTCCACACTTCTTGGGTGGGTGTGGAATTACTTTTTGAAAAATAACTGATGATTTTCTTCCCTATTTGAACCAAATAAGTAACTGAGTACTAGTTAATTTTAAAAAATTCTAGCCATTGCCCCTAACCATAGGTGGGAGCACACTTTGGAAGGCATTTATCAGCTAAGCTACCAGAGGAAAGTCAGGAGCTTCTAATTAGCAAGGGCTGCTAAGACCACATAGAGGCTAACCAGGGTTGTATGTGCAAAGTGTCTGGAACTTTGGTTTGGGTTTAGATATGAGAAAATTTGATGTGCTGGTTTGGTTTTCTTCCAATTTGAACTACTAGTTGCCTAAATGTTCTTTATCTTTTTTTATTCAACTTAAAGTGTTAATTTTAAGATTTAGCAAATTATTAAGGCTCATTCTGGTTGTGGATTGAGGATTTAATTCAGTTCTTATCTGTGGTAAGGATGTAAAACATGTGGCTAGAAAATAGCAGCAGCTGAAGGATGGGAGCATGGGCCCTTGGCCCTGAAGAGGAGATATGGGTGTAGTACTAGAGTATCTGTTACAGTTTACCCCTTGTGCTGCTCATAAGATACTGCTTCATATAGTAAGTTCATCTACCTAGTAACCAACAACTTCAGGATTCTGGTTGGCTTTTATTGCTGGGAAAACTTACAAGAAGGTTAGTGGGTGTGGGGAAGTTGGGGTTCCTGTGGCCAGGATCCTCACTGAGCTTAAACCACCTGATGATGTAACTGGCCTGTTGCTGGGCTGCCGCTTCCACACCCTTAGGCAATAAGCTATTATTGCAGTATATAGAGAGCTCGGCCCATTGCTCTGGGCGGAGGCAGAGACGCTAGTGTTTATTGCCCATAGCAATAAACCCTTTCACCCCAAAGAACGTTTTGCTCTCAATTTCTTTGGTCGCTGAATCCATAGCAAACTTGCCTGGGGCTGAAACCCATTGGCAAGACAGTGGGAAAATGAGAATTAACTACAACTACAACATATCTCAAGTCTGAAGTAATTGATTCTTTATTCCCTTCTTAGTCACCCATTCCAGATTTGCCTCCTCCTTAGCCAGCACCCATGCTGGTCTAGGCATATCACCTGGTAGGATGACTCAGATTCTCATCACTGACTGAGAGTCTTGGCCCTGGTCACCATGCCTATCCCAGACCATTGCTTCTGTTCTTGTCTACTGTTAAAACTGGACATGGGAGTATCAAAAGAACCCCATTGGATCATCCAGGTGCCAATCATTCTTCCCTCCCTGCACTGTGTAACAGAGCCCTCCCTACCTTCTGATAATCAGTGTCAATGATATCTGACAGCAAGATGACTCCTTTCCTACTGGACTCTTGGCATAAGGAGACTGAAGTGACTGGCAGCTGTAGTGTAAACACAATGGGACTCTGTATCCTCTGATGAAGTATTACTCTTCTGGGAAGAAGACATCTTCATCCACGGAATCTAAAGTTTTGGGGAGAGGAAGCACAAACTCTCAAAGTGTACCACTGGCAATGACAACAGGGCATTACCTATTTCTCCTGTGGTTCCTGGACCCATGTATCCTACCTTACAGCACCATATAATAGTTATTGATTTAGGGTAACATCTCAACCTTGAGGCATATCATCTCCAAGCTGGAGCCTCAGCTATGTCTTTAAGAGATCATTCCACCATTTTATTATGCCAGTGGTGCAGTATGGGTTAGGAGCAGAGGACTCTTTGGTCTAAGGAGGTTTGTATGGGATCTTGTGTCAGTGGATCAAGCATTCTTAAGTCCTCAGATTGCAGTGGCAGCTGAAGCCCTGTGGATACCAAAGGAAAACTCAGAATATGTAACAACCCTATAATCAATACAATTTTCTGCCTCTTCCAGAGGAGAAGAGTTCCAGTGTAGTCAACTTAACCTCCAGATGGTTGGTTGGTCTCCTTGTGTAATGGTGCTATATTGGGGAGTCAGCATTGGTTTCTGTAATGGACAGTTTGGACATTTGGCAGAAGTAGTAGCTGGATCCACTTTGGTAAGTTGAAGTCCATGTTGCTGGGCCAATTCATAGCTATCATCCTCATCACCATGGCTACTTCATTCATGTGCCCATTGTGTCAGCACTACAGTAGCCAGTGAGAGAGGCTGGCTGATGTCCATGGCTGAGTCATGAACACTGTCTAGTGCCTTTCTGGTAGTGGATGCTTTGGTGTGCATTAATATAGGACACAGAATTCTTCACACTTTGTATCCACACCTTATCCATGATATTCCAGTATTTCTTCTTCCGAACTCTGACTAAACTGCCTCCCCAAAACTGCTGTCCCTGAGCCTGTGTATATTCTTACCTTGAGCTACTACTCTTCCCTCTACACAAAGCAGATGACTAGGTGCATCACCAGGAACTTTGCCCCCAGGGAAGATTTCCCTTCACCACTCTCTTTCAGGGTCTTCCTAACTTGGGTTGCAGTACAGCAGCATCTCTTTTTGGCTTGCACTCTTATGCTGAGCCAACCCATCTGTGAATGAAGGTTGGCCATTTTCCTCTTCTGCCAGCTATTGGGACACCCCCATGCAGCCATAGTTGCAAGCTGAGATAGTTGGGAACACCAGCACAATAATGAAAACCTGGGCCACCAACTGGTGCAACTTCTGTCCTCTGACCCTCCTGCTTATGCCCAATACTGTATCTGCCACTTTTCTTTGATGATGGATTGCTGTTGCGGCCCACCCAAATCATGATATGCAGATCTGAAAGAACCTAACCTTGATGATCTCTGATTGCAGTTACTTGATGTCTGATGGTCAGATGTTCCATCTCAGTCAAGGCCCATTAGTCTGAAAGACCTTCTTTTCAAATGGTGTATAGTTCTTTACTACAGATGGTATGACCTCCTTGCTCCAGAATCCTGGGAGTCTATGCTGTCATCTTTTGGGATTACTATTAACTGTACATGGCATCCTTTCCCATCTCAGATCCCTCTGATACCACAGGGTCTGCTGAGTGTTATGGCAGGGCTGCTTGCCACTGCTGCCTAGACCTGCTGCAGAGCTGTCACCCCGTAAAAGTGTTGGAACAGTATTCAATATTCTGAAGTACATGGGAAATAACTACCGAATACACTTATGGAGGTGTTCCGGGCTCCATTGTCATAGACCACCAGCTTCTTCAGTCAGGGCATTCCATATCTCAGAGTTGACCTATGTCTGGAAACAACGCAAGTGGCAATCACTAAGCTGCTCTTTGCCTCCTAAACATGCATTCTTTATTTTTTGTTTTATAAAATTTATACCCTTATTGACTGCCCATCTATCTTGCCTTTGAGAACATTAAGTATTAACTATTCTATAACTATTCTGAGTTCTATTAACTATCTTCATAGCTCTCTATGGATTGGTTCCCTGGATGCCACAACAATTTTGCAACTCATTGCAATAGTTGCACCACCTTGCTTCTGACTGTTAAGTCCTGTCACCTGGCCTCCATTATTTCAGGATCCTGTCATCCCTGTTCAGGAACCCAGTTATATAACAACTTCTTCTCCAATCAACCTTGGCATAGAGAAGATGCTACCACCAAGATATTCAGACATTCTTACCTTCTTAACAATGCATTCCTCATCACTCTGGTAAGTGGTGTGATCTTCAGCCTTCTCTTAGAGTCAGCTAGTGTTTTTCCATCCCTGTGTAGGGTATGCACTCCAGCATGCCTACCCTTCAAAGCTGTCTGATTTCTTCCAGGCTGCCTCTTCTTCCAAGTTTCGTTTTCTTCCATAGTAGTTGTGGCATTTCTACTTCACTTAGGGTCAACTGTTGCTTTTTCCAAGCTTCCAAGAGCCATCGTAGCACCAGAAGTGCTTGCCAATGTGATAAATCCTGTATCCTGAGGGAGGCTTTCCATTGTCAATACACTCTCCTCTAACCAACTGTAGTCAATCTTCTTCATGATTGTACTGCTAGGTACGAAAATGAGTGGTATTTTTCCCTTTATTTATAAAAAGGTAAAATAATGATCCCTTCAACAAGGACTATTTGGCTAAAAGAAAGGGTCACCATCATATCCCAGCCCAGGGTCCAGGATGAAGAAAGGTGAATGGAGCCCCAAAAGAATCGCTTTCTAGAGAATGCCATCTTGCAATTATTTAATATTCTTGACCCAATTTTTAAAATCAAGATTAAAATGCTATATGGATTATTCTAAAACTTGCTTTGCTTTTACATATGTAATGTATGTCCCCTAATTTGGTCTCAGTGTTAATAAATGCAAGAGTAATGGCTTAATTAGTATCTCTGCTAACTTAAATTGCAGGTTTTATTGTATGTTCTACAATAAACATACTTCTGTTGGGGATGTAGGAAGTAAGGCAAGCAGTAAGCCCAAATGTTTCCAGGCTTTGTAACAAAATTCTGATTCTTTTTTATAGAGATTAACTTTTGACTCCTTGATTTTTTAAAATGGATTACTTTGTACAATAGCATTGTTTATCTGGGATTGTCTTCCTAACCCCACTTACAAAAATGAAGAAAGTATCATATATGTTCTACCTGGCACTTATGTGCACAGCTGTGCAAGTTGTGTACTACACAAGGGCCCTTGCACATCTAAGGGGGCAGGTTCACATCAGAAGTCATGGATTTGCGTATTTAGTAAGAGAATGTTCCAGCAGATGGCAGTAAAGTGTCTCGCTCTAACAAAAACAAATACCACAACAATTTCTGCCAGATGGAAGTAGTGTCTTGAGGACTGTGCATCTTTTTCTACTTACACAAAGATAGCATATAAACTAGTGGTGGGCATACTTACTATGTGCCAGGCCCTAGACTCAGTCATCCTTATGTAATCCTTGGGAGCCTATGAATAGGGTACCATTAGTAACTTGCCAAAGGCCACTGGATTAGGGTATAGTAGTAGTGACATTATGACTGGGTCTAGAATCCATGCTTTTCTGCATGAAACAATATTTCAGAGAACTCAGGCCTTGGTACTTGAAGAGATGGGGCCACAGAGAGCCTTGCTGCTCTCATTCCACCTGCTGCCAGTTCATGAGCATCTTATAAGTAAGTTAAGTAAGTATTATTACCCTTATTAACAGATATTTTCAACATGTCTTTTCAGGCACTACTGATATGCACCTATTTCCACAGTAGGTGAACTGAATGAATAATAGGGGTCAACCAGTAACTGAAGTCCCAAAAATAATTGTTCATATAAGCTAAATGAGATATCCTAATGATAGCTGAATTTAAACTGTAGGGGCTGGGTGGGGGGACAGTGAGACAGGGGTTGGTCTGCTCAAGAGAATTAGAATTGACAAAATTCAAACCAGGGGTGCAGATATCAAAGAATGCCATCAATGAGAGATACTATTTTTGATCTAGCATAAATAGAAAAAAAAATTTTAAGTCTCAGACTTTTCAAAAATAAAAGGCTTCACTTAGTTTTAAATGTTTCATGTCAAGAAACATTTCATAGCATGGATTTCTCAGATTGCCCATGATCAAATTGTAGCACCCCTCTAAACACTACATCTTTCTTTCTTAGTTTAATACTATTTGATAAATATGAAATGATGTATGAAGTGTAAAACTTCAAGTACAACATACAGTGACAAGAAATAAGTAACAGAAAATTCACCATTCTCATAACATGTGACAAGGTTTTATCTCAGTAGTTTGTCATTGCCAACATGGTCATCTATAAAAAATGGTATTAATGAAGAAAGATGAAAGTTACCTTTTGTTTTTTCAGATTGCTTAAAGGTGAAGTTGGGCAGGCAGGAAGGAAAGAAAAGCTACAAAATTTAAAATAAACATTACATTTTCTTTTGCAATAAATCAAAGAAATTACTACAAGGAGACAAAAAAAATAGGCCCAAGAAAGTATTAAAAAGTCAAATTGCAAGTAATCCTAGGCTTATATAAGGCCAAAAGAAATGGGAAAATCTTGGGAATGATGAAGTTTGAAAACATGCAGCAAAGCTATGCACTGTTAGGAAATGATAACAGTGATAAATCCAGAAAACACCCCCCCCCCCAAAAAAGTGTAATTTCCTTTTGAGGGGGAAAAAAAAAGAGTCCAAGAAGGAAACCTGAAAGCCAGCCAGCTTGGAAATACTGGTGGCCTAGGGACTCTGGTTATTTGCCTCCTCTCCAGGCCTCCAGGGGAGATCACTGTAAGGAATATCCCTTTAGATCAAAAGACACACGCATGCCAACTAACAACACTGCTAAGTGTAATCACATATTCCTCAAGATCAGAAACACACTAGACAGGAAAAATGAAAAGGACAATTGTAATGATGTTATTTAAAATTTTATTGAAACTCCCTCTCACCCTTTTTCAGTTCCCTTAATGAAAATGCATGTGAAGTCTGAGCCTGATATAATAAATTATTCCTTAAAGCTAGGACAAGGGAACACTGAGGACCATTTTACCTTCCTGTTTTCTCCTTTATTCATAGGCAGAGCTAGACAATGAAACCTTTCAGTGAAAATGGAAACATGTCTGCAGTAGTACAGTGCTTAGGGATTTCTACCCTCTTCTGCCCCATGAGAGGTAAGAAACAGGTTAGGTAGGAGGAGAAAGAGCTTCAAAAACCTGTAATGAACATGAGAGCTTCCTAATTTCTTAGGAAAACTTGAAAGGTTATCCATAGTTCCATGTGTTTCATTAATGTAGTTACAGAACCAGCATCAGAGTCTCTTTCAGTGCATTGTACTTCTGTCATCAGTTTTCTCTTTCAGCTGTTTCCCTTCTGTACCCTACTGTGGAATTTGCAAGGCCAGTTTTCCTCACCTATGTCTTTGAGAATTGGCCCAAATAACGGTTTTTGAACACCATCTTTTGTCTCTAGTTGAAGGTGTGTATGTGTTTGTGTGTGTGTGTGCAGTTTTAATAAAACAATAACAAGTGGTGCCTTAAAACTCTTCCTTGTCTTTTTAAAATCTACCTTTAGAGGAAATCCTATGCAAATGACCATGAATTACTTCTTCATATATTCAAGCCACTAATATTTAAAGTATTAAATACATTTAGAAATATTATCCAAAGTTATTTCACATTGAATAAATCTGGAATGTTCTTAGTTCATATATTTAAAAAGAGCTTTAACTATCATTCATAAAAAGCATCTTTTCTTAGTAAGTGGTTGATAGCTATCCACTCTCTGCAGAAGTGTATCTGAATATTCAGGGGAATAGTACCTGAAAAAGAAAATTTTCTATTAGACAGTTGTGAAAAGATTCAGCACAGTAGGCACAAAAGATTCAATATAAGATATTTATCTGAAATAATTCTAGGAGTGAAAACTCAATTACACCCTGAATAATTATGCTCCAGTAATGATTTGTGCAGAGACTATCAAGGAAGAGAACACCAACTCACAAAACTGTGCTAAATGAATAGCAAAACATTTAAGTATACATGGGTATTTTCAAAGCAAGATGCCTGGGTCCAGTGATAGTATTTTATTACAGAGACTTTGTGTTTATTGTGTTAAGTGACTGATGTTGCTTTAGTGATCATAGCTGATAGATTTTTTCATGAATTAGAATACACAGTCTATCATTACTGATCAACTTCTGCATTCTGATTATCCTACAGATTATTCTCAGTGTACATTTTAATCAGATCTGGTCACCACTAAAAAAAATTTCTGAGAGTATAATTCACATTGAAGAACTTTTATAAATGATTTATAAATGTTTAGTCTAATAACAGTTAAAAGAATATACCCATTGATAATCTGTCTTACAAGGAATAATTATTTCTAAAGTAATTCTTGAGAACTATATGATACAAAAATAAAACCATGTTTGTCTGTTTTCATAGACAATGTTATAAAGATTTCTATAAAACACCTGTACGTCCTGTAGAACTAATGCTTTGAAAACTATCAGAAATTGAAGAAGCCAGCTAACCAAAATTCTTCATGACAATAAGCCAATTTTAAAATGAAATCTCAGATCATAGAATGTAAGAAGTTAAAACTTTACAATGATATTTTGATAAGGCTCCAGATTAAATTATAATGTGACAGTTTTTTGTTTCCCCTGGTACTCTGTAATCTTAGAACGGAGTCAAAAGAAGACTTCTGTTGAAGAAAGTGCCTTACCATTGGTTAATTCTAATAAGTCATTCCATTTGGGGGACCCTTCAGTTTGCTTTTTTTTTTCATTTTTCTATAAGTTAGTTAGAAAATTGCATTGAAAGTTATTTTAAACTTACATAAAATAGCATTCTTCCTGATGGGACAATTGTTCCATATATAAAAATTTATTTTCTTGATAAAAGATTTTCATACTTCCTTGATCGAGTGGTTTCACATATATTTTATGTTACATAATTTTGGTATTTTATTTGTGTATTATATATATTAGATACACATGATATAATACTGTGATGTATCATATATATTACTATTCTCAAATATAACTTATTGGAACACCTTTGGCCAAGAACTACTCATAAATCTCCCAAAAGTGTATAAACTTTTTATCTGTAAAGAATTTACTGCAGAATATGTGAATAGAAAACAAATTTTAATCTTAAAATTATTTTTGTGCTTTTAAAATCAATGTTACCATATGTGTTAAAAATCACTGGTAATAAATAGGAAGAATAGTTTATATAATTATAAGTTTTAAACATTGGAATTTTTATTCCCTAATGTTAATTAGAGAAAATAAGAAATAAGATTAGAAAAGATGAATAGGACCTTTAATTCTGTATGTTGTGTGGGCAGTTTTCAAGATTCAGTCGTTTAAATCATTCTTTCTTTTCTTGGTAACTGCTTTTTATTTTGGGTTTGGTGGTATAGTCCTCCTTTAGGACTGATGCTTAGGTTTAATACTCTGTAAATCAATCTCATTTTTAAAAATTAATCTTGAAAACAGCTTCTGCTACCTTGCTATGAGGCACTTGCATATCATAAATATTACTTAACTTTTTTTGAATGTAGATAATAACTTTCTTTTGCCACTCAGCATGTCTTTTTTGTAATACTCCAATTAATATAAATTTGAGGCTTAAGGCAGAAAAAAAATGCTGAGAACTATGAAAATCAGGATCTATAGGCCCTTTCTAAATCAGGTTCACATTAAAGATTGTTCATTTAATTGTCCTCTGTATTTGGGTACTCTTTAGTAAGCATGTTTAAATTAGTATAAAAATGTCTCAAATGACATTCTAGTTTGATTTGGAAATGTGTGTGTCACTCAGAACATTTAATTTGAGGGACAAAAGAGATGAAGAGAGTAAAGACATACATTGATCTTAAATAGTATTTCAAAGTCCACATTTTGACACAGTGGATATAAAATTAGATTTGAAAACAGAGAAACTACATTATAGTTTTGAACTTCTTAAAGTCATTTTCCCCACCTTACTATTTCCTCTGGGTAACAGTTGTTAATACTATTAATGTATTCCTGAAGGACAGATACAGGTTCAGCTTTTATCTCTTGAATCTTTTTAAGTCCGCCACTTGTGACAAAAAGTTGCGGAGCTTTGCTATCCTGTGGCAGAACCTTGAAAAGTAAAGCACAGAAAAATGTCAGCTTTTCTTTTCCAAGCTGGAGTATTTCTACTGAAAAGCAATAATATATCTGAGGAAATGTGAAAGAGGTCCAATATACCTGTAGCATAATGAGCCTAAATTTGCTAATGATTGGAAGTAAAAGGCAGTCTTTTTAGAAATACATTACCTTTTTATGTTGTGGAGATGCAATAAAAGTAGTAGTGAACATGAGCAAAGGTAATGGAGATCCATTCATATACATAAAAGCAAAGTGGTGTCCCTCTTTTACTAGAGTAAATCTCTCCACTACCTACAAAATTAAAGACAAGCTCCTTAACAAGGCAAAGAGGGCCTTTTGTAACTCAAGTCCTAACCACTTCTCCAGCTTCCTTCCCTACAAATCTCTATCCTAAGGTTTTGTTTCAATAACCTCAAAGGGTGCATGCCAGACCATTTCTTTCTCTTGCCTGTGCTGTTTCTACTTCCCAGAATGCCTGTCTACTGTCCATGCACCACTATTTGCTTGCCAACTCTTGCTCACCTTTTAAGACTCAGCTGAGGTATCATCTCTTTTAAGAAACGTTCTCTGGGACACCCCTACTGTCTTATCCCAGGAGGAGTCAGGTACTTTTCTTCTCATAGCACTCTGTTAAACCCCTACTGGTGTACTTGCCACATTTTAATTATCAGTTTATATTTCTGTAACACACAAAAGTTATTGAAGGCAGAAACTATACATTCATTCATTTATTTCTCTAGTGCCTGGTGCTGAACAGATATCACTACATATTTACAAATGAGTGAACATAACAGCAGAACAGGCAGAAAAAGGGAATTGAGGAGATGTTAAAGGGACAGAAGAAAAATGAGGAAAGTAAAGAATCAACAAATCAAGAGAAGATTTTTAGAAGCTATCAGTGAGAACTAAAAAAGGTCACTGAATTTGATAGTGGATGTTTGTGTGTTGAGAGGAAAGAGTCAATGGAGATGAAGAAATTAATTATACAAGATGACTGACCCCCCAAGGAAGACCCTGGAGAGTGGGTGAGTTCGCAGTATGGGGAACTCCCACTCTCCTCCTTGGCCATTGCTACTATTCCCTCTTTCTTTCCCCTTCCATTATTGCTCTTTCTTCAAAGAACAGCTCTTTTCACTTGTACTTCCTCTATTGAAGCCCTCTCTGCATACCTCTGACTGTATTCACTTATTCCTTCTTAGGAAAAAAAAAGGTTTTTCATGAAGTCCAGCACATTGAAGTGTTTCATCTGGTCTCTCCAGGTAGATTATAAAGTACCTTGAAGAACTTTATCTTACTCTTTTTCGTCTCTCCCCCGATGCTTAACATAATGCTGATTACATGTAGGCATTTAACAAATACTTAAAACTACAAAAAGACCTTCCTAATAGAATGATAATACACATCAAGTGGACAATAAAACCCTAGTATATATTTCTAAAAAATGGAATAGCCTACAGGTACATTGGGTTTAAGTATTTTGTTTGGCCTGGAGTGTTTTCGTTACCTCCTATCTCTGTCCCCAGTTATATTATACTAGGGTAATGCCTTGCTTCCCCATTTGTTTATAGTGCTCTTGTACCCTTTAAGGAAACAAAGAATATTGAAGCAAATATTCCCAAAGGCACATTTATAAGAGTATGTGAAATGTGGTACTGCCTTTATTTTATCTTTACTAATTTCCACAAATCCCACTGATTTACTTTAGTGACTTATTTTGAACCCAGTTTGGGTTAGTGTTCATTTTCAGAGCAAATCCAATAAAACTAGAATATCTCACTCACGAGCCTAAAAGATTAGACTATGAAACGAAATTGCAAGAAATAATGTCAATTACTTATTTTCAAGAGCTGATGACTCTGTCTACAGATGATGCATTTAGCTCCCTACTCCCCCTCCTTGCTGATCAAATTAGCTCATCAGTTTCTTACTTAGCAGTTAGAAAAAAGAAAAGAGGTTGAATATTTTTTAGAAAGAGGAAGTCAGAACATAGGCCTGATACACAGAATTGTATCCTGAGGTGACTTCAGCAATGTAACACCTACTGCCCACTGATTATGGTGCTTGAGGGTCCACCAGCCTGTTGGAGATCATGGAAAGACTTCAGAGAACTGAAGGCTATTAGTGGATATTGTTACCTTTCACATGAGTACCTAAAACTAGACATTTTTAGCTGTAGGACCTACTCTAAAAGCAGTAACAATATTAGTTTTGTTCATTATTAGTAGAAATACAGAATACAAACAGTAGTACCACCTCCTTTATATAGCATTATAACTATTAAAATTAAATTGGCCCCCATTCATTTTTGTTAATTTTTAAAAATCAGCATTAACCATTTCCATGTTTTATTTCTTAAAAACAACTTTTTGGGTTTTTTTGTATGTGTGTTGTGTTTTATTTGTGTGCTTTAGTATATGCCTGGGATTAAGCTAAAATTTTGTAGCACATAACATCTCATTTAATCTTTAAATAACCCTATAAAATAGGTACTTTTATTATCCCTACTTTATGAGAAATCATACTAAGATTTAGAGAAGTAAAGACTTTGCTTAAGATATTACAGCTGGTAAATGGGAAATCTAGGCAGCCCTACTCCAGAGCTTGTGCTCATAGCCACTATGGAATTCTACTCCCAAAGACACTATTTTCTTAAATCAAATCTGAGCACAGGTTAAGCGGTTCTTGATAGCTTAGGGTCACCTTCCTGGCCATCAGGGATGGGAATGCTGTCATGCTCTGATTCTTTGCTATCAGTAGTCAGTCCTGTGGGCTGTGCCCACTTCTAGCAAATTGACGTTTCTACCTTACAATTTATAATCTGCAGTCTTCTAAAAAATATGGCAGCTTCATTTTTTAAAACTCTTCATAGAATAAGTCAATAAACTCCAAACAACTGTCTGAAAGCATCCCCAGTGAAGTGCATGGATTTTGCAAAAAATATTTAAATGTGACTAAGGGACCATTTTTTTTTATAAGATTGTTGCAGTGTTCCCAGATGAGTGAGACTAAAACACACCAGAAAAATTACCAAAAGTTACTTATCAATATAAATTGTCTGTATTAGGAGGATTTTACATACTGACATGCTATTTACTCCTCAAGAACACTAAAAAGACAGTACAAAGGGAGTGAGGGAGAAGGAAGTGTGAATTATTTATGTGTGAATTTTATTAACCTATGTTACCTTCCCTCTCAACACAGTGAGTTAAATAGGTAAAATCCTGCCCCTATCTTGCAAAATACTGACCCAACAGAAAAAAACAAGTTAATAACAACTCATTTTAATTTTCTTCTCCCACTTCCAAGCTAAGCTGTAAGAACATTTCTTACCTTACTGAACTGTCCAACCACATGCTTCAGAATATTGGGAGGAACATCATACAGAAATGGCTCAAGGGCTGGTAAGGAGGTGTGAATAAAGTGAAGTTCCTGTGGCCAGGATTCTCACCTGGCTCTGGTTGGCTAGCTTACTACACACGTGTGGGCAATACATCATTATTGACTCTATATAAAGAGCTCTGCCCAGTGCTCTGGGTGACACAGTAACACGGCTGCAGGAGGGCAGAGCAGAGGCTGGGTGGTGACAGCACTGAGGCAGAGACCAGCTTGCTGCGTGTAGACTCACCCTGAGTGGACAGGGTTCTCATGATTGACCTGCCACCATGGAAATAAAGTTGGGTGTAATCCTTTCACCCCCAAGAACGTTCCACTGTCATTTCTTTGGTCACATTGAATCCATAGTGAACTTGCCCGGGGCTGAAACCCATTGGCAAGACAGTAGGTGCATTTTTGTAAGATATTCTTATGGCATTTTTACTTTATTGAAATACAAAGCAAAATACATACCAGTGTAAGTAATCAATGAAAGATTGACAAAAATTCCTGCCTCAGGTTCCTGAAATTTGAAAATGAAGTGAATTTCCTGTTTGAATCTGTAGTCATTTCATTTTTTAAAATAGTTGTCAGAAAAACTATCATTTACTGATTTTATCATAGAATACCCTGCCAGTTGTCTTCATGTTAAATTTAAAAATTCACAGTATATTATTGGGCTCTTAAAATACCTGTGAGGAAATTAAAATTATAAAGCATAAAGCCATAGACTATAAATTAATATGTATTATATTTTATTAGTGTAAAAATTTGTATATATTAAACTGTGACGTAACTAATATGCCCTATTCCTTCCAATTAATAAATGTGAGAAAATACTTAGATAATTTCAGAAAGTCATTATCAGGCATTCTATGTTTTCTAAAAGGTTCCATGGCTTATACATACATCATCAGGAATGTTCTATATATGCATTATTTAATGAGCATTTGCAGATATGCTGCTTTAGCTCATGGGTAGAAAATTTCCCCATTTAGATAGAAGCAAAACAGAAAGGATCTACTCAACTCCCTAGAAGAGCTCCCCTCATAGTAGGGAGGGTTTCTCCCACAAGCAAAAGGATAGGTACCCGCACTAGCCTTACCCACTCTCCCCAGCACTCTTTATTTCACAGTGACATGGTGTGGCTGAAGAAGGGCCCTGATATGGCTGTAGCACATCACTGCAGCCAGCTCAAGGCCCTGGCTGGTTGTGATTCTGTTTCCTTGTACTGAAGCCTGCCCCCTTCACTCTAGAGGGCTTCACAATTGGGTTTGTTTGCAGCTGTTTACCACTAGAATTACACACCTGCTTGTATGTGGTTCTCTGCCATAGTGTATCCTTATGGCCGTCCTTTGATCACCTGTGTTCTCTGAGGCCTTAGCCAACCTGGTCTTCTTGCTAGCTAGCAATGTTTTTTGAAATGTCAAGGAGCATTTTGATGTTCACATTGTGGGTTTTACGATTGGTAAATGGATCCTGTAAAAACGTGGATCCCATTGGTGCTTTCAGTAAAGGATCTCTTGATTTTATGGCCTCCCAGAGACTCGGGCTAGGTCTTGCATAACCTCTTATTTCTTGACACATTTTCTTCAAACATTGTTGGACCCTTCCAACACCAAGATTCAGTCATCATGTAATTTGTTATTTTAATGATGAATGTTAATACTGATGCTACTTCTAGTTTTCAGCATTTTTTTCCCAGTCCTGTCTTATCTAACCCTTACAACATAATTTTCACATATTAAAGGACCAAATACATACTATATTCATGTATGTTTTCAATGATGATTTACTAATTATTTTTAAATATGTAATATTAATCTATACACATTTCCATTTTCTCAAATCATCAGAAGCCTGGTTGGCTCATTTTTTAACTTTATTTGTAAATACCTTCAATTTAGCATCAGGGTTCAGGATCATCTAGGCTAAGCAAGCAATAGCTCCCGCATCCACTACTGTCTGTGCTAACTCAGGAGAATGCTTTGCAATATCACTGAGGGCTGAAGCAGCCATCTCTTTCAAAGCAATTTCTGGCTCCCGGATACAGAGTACTAAAAGAGGAACAGCTCCTGCATCCACCACAGCTTGTGACAGTTCTGTGGGTCTGAGAAAAGTAATTAAGTGAGTATGGGTGACTGACCCTTGTGCAAGCCATTTTTCACCCTGACAGATACAGCAAAGAAAAAAGAGGAGGGTGTACTTCACTGTCTCGACATCTGCATTTCAAATCAGTCTTCGTGGTTTCATAAACCATGTGGACCAATCCTGAGCTGAAAAGAATACAGGTCAATAGATGGACCTCCATTTACATGAACACATTTAAGGTAGATTAGGCTGAAATGGCTTGTTATTCTTTTTTTTTGTTTAAGAGAGTAAGCAGATGTCAGCTGTTTAAGCTCTGACAATTCTGCACTTCTCAATAGGCAAGCATTTTATGCATGGTTTACAACAACAAAGAAAATTAAAGTACCAAAAATTTACCAACCACACTAATTAGGTAGTTGTTTGTGCTATTTACATGAGTAAACACTAACATGGATCTTGTGCCAATAATGTCGATTTTTAAATTCTTTTCATCTTGTGCTTTTAAAAGACTTAAAACTTCATACAAAATTAAAAGGTGCAATTTCACTGTACGTATAAGATGAGATCTACAACTGAACAACATACTTTAATATAGAAATGTTAATGTTTAGATAAAGGAGCAAATTTATCTTAACCATTTTACATGTCAGAAATATCTTTTGAATACACATGTTGATTTACTGAGTGTCTAATAGCAGCTATAAAAATAGTACATTTTAAATTATAGAGAATGGGAGACAAGCAGGTAGATCCATATAAAATATATGTAAAAAATATCTTTTGAGAAGCATAAAAATCTATTCATAGTTATAGATTTTACTCTCACTGTATTCATGGCCTCTATTACTGAATCACATATACCCGTTTCTATAATATCTTCCTTTCAAATTATATTCTCATTTTCCCAGATGCACAGTGCTTTGACAGCCAAGCTATCTATTCAACCTATCCCTTAAAGTCTTTGATTTAAAGAAAGTAAAGTGTTTAGTTTTTCAAGATTGGTAATACCACATTTTCTAAATGGAAATGATGTTATAAAATACAGGTTAGTGTCCAATATTTGTTTTCTTTCAATTATTACAATTTTCTTAGAAGTCCCAATATTGTAAATGAGTCATTCATTTTTTTTTTCATTAAACAAGTATTAATGGAAGGTTTTTATGTGCCAGACTCATTCAACTCTGGTGCAAATGACACACTTCTACAAATTAACACTACATTGATTAGCAAATGTGTTCCAGTTAAAATCTAATGTGAAATATGAAATACGATGGGAACTTAATATGTAATCTCAAGAACCAGAGGCAGATAAGAGGAAAACAAACAAACAAACAAATAAGACTGCAGCAACAGACTGGATTATCACCATAGCAATGTAACAGATTCCTCAGAAGTGTCTCCGAGATTCTACTGTAACTGCCTGAGGACCAGTAAGACAGCAGTTAAAACAACTGATACTGCTTCTTTCCTGTCACCCCCACCCAGAGAAAATGGGAAGAAAATATGAAGTGTGATGTAATTTCTAGAATATAATTTTCATATTTTTGTTATGAAACATGTTCTAACTCAATGTTAATAACATTTTGTTATGAAACACATTTTTATGAAACACATTACTTAATTCAGTTCAGTCCAAATTATACAGTGTTGTATATCAGCTTTATATGTCCTCCTGGAGTATCTATATATGCAGATGGTCCCTGGCTTACGATGGCTTGACTTACAATTGTTCAACTTTAGGATGGTGCAAAAGCAATATGCATTCAGTAGAAACCATACTTTGAACCTGAATTTGGATCTGTTCCTGGGCTGGTGATGCGTGTATGATCCTCTCCCATGATGTGGGGCAGTAGCAGTGAGCACAGCTCCCAGTCTGCCACATGATCGTGAGGGTCAGCGACCTATGCACCTACAGCCATTCTGGACCAGTACAACCATTCCGTTTTTCCTTTCAATGCCATATTCAATTAATTACATGAGATTTTCAACACTTTATTATCAAATAGTCTTTGTGTTTTTTGCCCAACTGTAAGCTAATGTAAGTGTTCTGAGCACATTTAAGGTAGGATAGGCTAAGCTATGATACTCAGTAGGTTAGATATATTAAATGAAATTTTCATTTATGATATTTTCTACTTACAGTGGGTTTATTGGGACATAACCACATCATAAATTGAAGGAAATCTGTAATCAGTTGAACATTTTATTTTGAGAGAATATAAGGATTAGGTCATTTATATATTTTCACTTTTTATAGATTATTGCTAAGAGTAAAGAATATGCAGTAAACTACAACTTAAAAGTATTATTAATAAAAATTAAGATTCCTTTTATCATATCTTTGTTAATTCCCATATATTTTATCCTTTCCTTGGATAATAGAGTACCCTATCCTCCTTTCCTTGAACTCTATAATGTTAATAATAAGGCAAACTCTGTTCTTCTGACTTGTTATCCAATCCCATCCTAAGCTGTTTTTCATTATGTTAAGTGTGGGGCAGGCTCGGGATGGCACTTGAGAAAGATTTGCCATGAAGGGAATGAAGCTTCCAAAGACCTGGACAGGCCTAGAAACTTTGTACTTGCAATTTCATATACTTCATATCTCCAAATTTATGTGGGCCTCCAAAACCAGGATCTCCTCTTGGGTAGCACACATTTTTATTTATAAATGATATTGTTCTACCACCTTCATAAATATATTTGATATAAGACAGCATGTATATAAGAATAGATGTAAATAATGCGTATCATGCTACATTATACATAGTACAGGCTAACTATCTCTTCCTGTCTCTATCACTACCCTTTTTCCTATGATATATCTTTCTCCTCTTCCCTACTACTGCTTCCTCTGGCATTTCTGTGCCAGTCGCTGTTGGTGTTTAGCCAATAGTGTTTGTCAGCCAGGGCTTAGGCTTAGGCCATCAGGACCTGAGAAGAATTCAGCTAAAAGCATCTGTGAGAGGTTTTCCTCTGCCAGAAACAGATACACAGAAGGAAATGCCACCTCTTCTTTGCTGGACATGGTCATGTCTGCAAATGACATCAGGAACTCCTACACCCATTTTGCACCTATAACGGAAGAAATCACCAATATGCTGAAAGTAGCTGAATACAAAAATGAAAAACATCTGGGTTCTCCATGACACTGTTCAGCTGCATAACCAACCTTGGAACTGCCCTCTGAGCTTTGTGTCATATGAAATAAAAAATGCCCTTATTGTTTAAGTCACTTGTAGGATATTCTGTAACTTATAGCCAAAAACTTACTAATATAATTCTGTCCTCTCTCGTGCTCAGTGTATATGTACATATTTTCCTCCCTTCCTCTGGTCGTTGAGTGTTCCTTAAGAGCTTACTATGTGCTAGAAACTTGGCTAGATCTTGGGGAAGGAGAATAGAGTAAAACATTGTTCTATTACAGCAGACTCTGCTCAAGGTGAATATATGAACAGTCCACTAGAAGTACAGAGCAGGGCGAGGAGTCAAGCCTGTGGGGCATGTAGGGAAGGTGCCCAGGAGCGCCAGGTAGTGCTTCCTACCTTATTTCATTCTTCCCCCCTTTTTTTCCTATACTTTTCTACTCTAAAAAAGTAGTAGTAACCAAAATACATACAAAATTCTGATACATTTAAAAATGACTTCCCATAGACAAAATTTCATGAAGTTCATTTTTAACTCTAATTTGGACATTAGTTTTGGTTGTTCAATTAATTATCATACTTATGAAACCAAAGAATATCCAGACTCAAATACTCATAAAAGTTTTGACCAAAAAAACCCACAAAAAGGCAGTGAGCTAAGAAATTTATCTTCAGTACCTGAAAACATCTTAGCCTGTTGAAATTTTAAATGAATCTTCCAAAAAAATTAGTTTAAAAAATATTCTATTATGCAAAAAGATGTGACATAATCATATATTGTTAAATAGCAAGAAAGATTACAAGTAGTTATACAATGAAAATGCAGAGGGAAAAAACTGTATGTTATACCAACAAGCTCACAGGATTTATACTGGGTTGGTGGTATCATAGACAATACATTTTCCTTCTCTATTCGCCACATTTTCTTTAATGTGATTTTATATTTTTTAAAAATAAATGTAAATGTCTTTTGTTCATACATATAGCAACTGCTGGAGCTAATTATACTAACATCACCATTATAAAGGAAAAATAAGTATAAACATTTTAGCTTATTTCTCAATATGGCAGAAAGTTTCTATTTAAAAAAAACTGGTGGGAATGCATATCTCCTTTAAACAAAATATCAGGAAAGAGGGTATGAAGAATTACTACTATACCTTTTCAAACTTCCCTCTTAACTTAATTCATGCCCTTACTACATTTAAATTAAAATATTACATTTTTTAACGTTAAGGGTTATTTCTGACAACTTTTCAGACTGCCGATTATCACAGGGAATAAAACCATCCAACAGCACCTTCCTTATTCATGAATAATGATTAAAGCTGTTTATTACATACATGTAGACAACTAAATATACAGTCCCCAGATCTGATGGTCAGTTGTTTCCAGTAAAGGAATACCTACTTCTGTTTGGCCTCATAAATAGATCATTGTTGAGTGGAAGAACTGAGGCAGCCTCCTCTGTGGAGCTGTACTAAGGCCGGGGCTGGAGGTCCCATCAACCTTCTGCCTCTCTCACTTTTTCCATGATTCTTTCTAATTACACTTACGAGGCTTATGTGCATACAATTCTTTGGATATTGATAATGTGGAAGCTTTGGGTGATAACTCTTTGCTTCTCATAGAGTTGCTTTTTCTTAAGAATTTTATTGTGTGCTGTTTCGGGGACCTGGTTTTTTGTTTGGGTTTGTTTTTCTTTTTTCTAACAAAATGAAGGCTGAACTTGTAGCTCTGTCTCACTAATGGGTGTGAAGGGTTACAACTAAATGGATCAAATATTTCAATTTAGAATAATCAAAAAATCTAAACAAATTTAGATTTTAGATTTAATTTTAAAAACAAAGAGATGGATAAAAGGA